AATACAGTTTTGTCCCAATATATTACAATGTGTTGCTCATAAACAACGAAAGCATGCATTTATTTTGCAACCGAATTTGAAATAATTTCAAAACATTGTTTTTTTATTCAAAACAATGTTTTGACATAATAAAGACACTAAAAGAAAAAATTTTATTTAGGGGGTAGCTTTGTTCTACTTCTGTAATTGCGCCATGGGTAGATCCATCAACGTTTGGGAACATTGATATGTCAAAATTTTTCAAATGTTTTGTCAAAAATGAGTAGATTTTCTTATGTTTTCTTATACGACGCAAATCGGATGTTATTATGATATGCATTTTTCAAAAATTTTTAAAAATTTCAATAATTTTTCAATCAACATTTTCAATCCAAAATCAGTTTGACATTTCACTGTCCCAGCAGCTGTGTTGTTGCGATTATTCTTCTAGCCACTGGGCTAATTATGCTATGTTCTTATTACACTTTCAATCACGTTGTTCGCTCTCAGAGTTATGTACACGAATTAACCCGTTCATACGGCACGATTCGTAGTTCATAGTAAAATAATTCCTTTTTTCAATAAAATTGTCTCTTGATTTTAATGGGAATTTATAGGAAAATACATCAAATTCTCACTAATATGAATAGAAGAAATTATATTTTTTGTCCCAAAGATTTATAATATCATTAATTTTACAATTTTTATTCACGTTTTCAGCTTTTTGTGTAAATATTGACATTTTGAGAATATTTTTGTATTTTTAAATTCAGCTGGAGAGACATTGTCAAAAATTGTTTCTGCCGATACAAACATTTTGAAAATATCGCCTTTTTTGTTTGCAGTTTTCTGTGGAAATTTCAACTCGTGGACAAAATGCGTACCTCAAATGAGAGAAAACAAAATGTATTTTCGTTTGAATGTACATACGCCATTCAACATTGTAGTTTGCATACATAATTTTCAGTCTTCCCAAAATAATTTAAAATGCGATTAAATATTTCTATTTTTAATTTTTAAATGTCATAATTTATTTTTTAGGTAAATGTTCTCATTTGTTAGGATTGTTTAATGTTTTATCAAAAATAAGTAGATAGGTAGATAAGTTTTTTTTTTTTCAATAATAAGTTAATTTCTTTATAATTATATTTGACATTAATATACCTAGCCATGACTTCAAGCTTCTTATGTACTTACAGCTTAAATCCTGATAATGTGGGTTAATCCGGATACAATATTGTATCTATAAAATTTTACATCGCGTAAATGTGTAAATAGTTTATGTAAAGTACAATAAAAAGGTGTTTCATGGCTACACGTTGATTTATTTTTTTTCCTGAATATGCCCGAATTCAGTTTCTCCTGTTTCTGTATTTGTTATTTGAATAAAAAACAATATTTTCAAAGTTAGTGGTTAAAAAAGTATTTATTTTGTCTGGTACAATAAATTCCAAGGTATTCTTTTTGCGCCTGAACACATTATTTTTATTTTAGCAGTCCTGTAATGTCAAAATACATAAACAGTTTCTGTATGTGTACGTATAATTTTAAATAGTATAATAAATTATTTTGAAAGTGTTTAAATTCTGTCGAAATTTAAATTCACATATATTTTCATTTTTGGGTATATGCAAAAGCATATTAGGAACTCGATATAGTGAGCAAATCGCGGCGTTCCAGGAGAAAAGTGGCAAATAAACAATAGTAAATATGAAATTACCTGATTCTAGCTTCAGGGTTGTGTTTTTCAAAATCAATAAACCTGCTCTTCCTTGTAATGATTGTATTACGTTCCCATTATCTGAGTTAATGGGGCTGCCTGTATTGTTGCACCATGATAGCAACACAGCTATTGTGATTGACGAACAGTGCGGGTAACATTGCGTGACAGAAATGTAAACAATATTCAAAATTGACTTTGACACTTCTTTTAACGAATTAAGCGGGCACTCAATGAATAAAAAGAATTAAAAAGTGATTAAAACGCGATAAAACCATAAAAGTGTGTTGAAGGCAATACCTCATAGAATTAACATTAGGAATCTTTAGTCTTCCCTGGTCAGCCCTTAAGTGAAGAAACATGGAGGAAACAGGTTTGAGAATCTATTTCATTTCCAACTCATAACTAACACTTGCTTTCCGTGATCCTAACAGGTGGTTTTCATTTTCCTACATTAACCAATATCCTAAATGAACTTCAGGCTGAATTTGAGGGATACAAATTTACAGTATACAGATGTGCGGCAAAATTTGTTAAACTGCAGAAAATTGTTTTCAGTGAGTTATATTTTTGATTCCAACTTAAAAATTATTTATTAGTTTTTTTTTTATATTATTTATTCCTCTTAGCCAATAATATTCCGTATAAGTTGGTGCTCGCTGTTATGGATCGTCATGGAATGCATGATGATGTTAATTTAATGGTACCGCCATTTCAATTGACGTCTTTAATACATGATATTTTCTTTGCCTGCGAGAAATTAGGACATTTTACAAAAGTGTCCACATATTCCTTGGAGTCTGCAACTGCAATTCTTTCGAATCTTTTTTGGAATATATTTGACCCGTAAGTATGAACCAGGGTCATAATGATGAAATATCTAATGCATACTCATATTTATTACATACTCTACATTGTGACAGACATAGACGACATTCCATTTCTTTACTTGAAATAAAGATGACATTCCTCTTACTCTGCAAGCTCTATGCCTCCGATCAGATGGTAATGGAGTTTTATAGTCTTTTAAAAAATTATAAAACGAAATGTGTTCCCAAACTTAATTTTGAATATATGTTAAGCATTCTGGCCAAAATATTTGCATATCTTGGAGAAGGAGCTGCGTATGGTGCACAGAATATTGCTTTGATTTTGGATCAGTGTTATTCCAGGGTAAGACACTTTTATCTTTTTTCCGTATCGTTAGTTGTTTCGGATAAAATATTGCTCTAGGAACTCCACTGTTTTTAGTTCTGTTGGACTTTATAATAACATTTTTTTTATTATCAGTGCCACAACCTGTCTGGACTGACGGACTATCAATTCCTTTGTTTGTGGACCACAACACAAACCCGATTCCTTATATATGCTAATCTGATTGCATTAATCAAGCGAATTGAAGATACGGAAAGACTAATTCATCTCAACACCTGTGCATCGTGCTGTTTGGATAAAATTACAGGAATTCGTTTCAAATGCCAGACGTGTAAGGACTTATCACTGTGTCTAAAATGCTTTGCAACTGGTTATACAAATAATAAGCACGGAATCGGTCACCGCATGTATGAAGTTTTTACAGAAGTAAGCGTTTTAATAAAAAATAAAAACTTTAATACTTTAATATTTAAATACTATAATCAAACAGGATATTCCACCAAAAAAATTTTCATACTATTTGTCAAAATTATGTAGCGGAGTATTTTGTGCAGCTAAAAAATCGAGCGAGGAAAGCAAAGGGTTTGCGAATGAAACAATAACACAAAATGACACTGAACTTGTTACGATAGCCACAAACAGATCATCGAATGCATCTACAATTAGCGTTAAGACATCTCATGCTAAACCGATTTCCATTGAGAAACCAGTTATAGCAGCGAAGGACAAGGCAAATATTCAGATAAAACAAAGTCCCAAGTCAGACGTCGATGGTACGAATAATTAAATTTTCAATGATTCATATATTTCTTATATTTTTAATTTGCATTATTTATAGCTTCTATAGCTTGTCTAACAACAACAGCATCGACCGCTGTAAATGTCTCTGAAAAGTTACAAAACATAATTGACAAACTTTTGCATCAGAATGAGTAAGTTTAACCCATAAGCTATTAAAGCTATCTTATCAATCTAAACTTTGAGTAAAAGATAATGATCTTAATTTAATTGCAGAAAACTCGAAGATCAACTTAAATGTATAGATACATCAACAGCAGATGAAATCTCTGTGTTCTTAAGAAAACATCAGCAATTTTTGAATGACATTATAATGGAAATGCGAAATTTTTCGGTGAGAATAACAATAATAACATTAGGAAGAAGTAAATAATGATCCATGTAATTCTTATGTATAGCAGAATTCATCGGCAAGCATTAAAACATTTCCCCCCTCCAGTACACCAAATCGTTGGGGCCATCTTACCACATCTCCTAATATCGACAATGTAAGCGCTGTTGTGAATGTAAAATCGATATGCGGAACGAATCTCCCTATAAGCTACACTACTAAAGATAATTTAACTCATTCAAGTAAGTGATTTCAAATTCTAAAAAAATAATTCATGTTCTTAGACCAAATTCCCTAGTTAATGGAGCCGACCTAAATCGCACTTACTTAGATGCAAACAAATCCGATTACTCAATCAATGATTTGAGTTCTTGGTTTAACCAGAGGCGCTTCTCATCACTTCCACCAATTTCACTGAACTCGAATCAGCAACCTCTATCCGTACTAGCCGAAGTGCCGTCACATCACGAACTCACTTATTACGGTGTTAATCCACGTGAAACAGAAATGGCGAACTTTAAGCTTTTATTAAATAAAGTTAAGGAAATTGTTGATGACTCCCACAGCGACAATACGGATTTATCCGAAGCAACCCAAAACTTAGAGAACGTATTGGACTCAATTATAAACACTGCTGAATGTCGGAGAAAAAGTCTGAATTGAGATGTAATTTGAACAGTATTATTAGGGCAAGAAAATTTACAATGTATTTAATACTCCAAGTTGTATGAAATTAAACGTGCCTTTTAAATTTGTTTTACCTACATGATTGAGAGTATAGCGAACTTCCAGATTTCCAATAGCGATGTTTAGCATAGAAATATTAAAGCTAAAATAATTAGTTAAATAAGGATTGTCTACATATTTTCTAAATAACAGTGTAATGAGTAAAATAAAATCACACGAAGTAGTTAAATGGAAATGTATTTATTTACAGTAAAAACAGTCTTGATCTTTACCAACAAAATCGAAGGAATCGTACCTAATGCAACCAAAAAATCATAATAAAAAACACGGTTCTGGTCAAAATTGGAAATATTCCAAACATTTGGATCTTCTCCCTTTATTAGTTTTTTAGGTCTTTAAAAATCGTTACGATTCTTTGTCTTATATTTCTAGAACTTAGACCGAAAAATAGAGCAATTATAAAATGATCAAATAGTTTCTTAACTAGATTTACCGCAAGTCTATTGTGACCGTTATCATTAAACTGCGAATCTTGTCTGGCCATTTATAAAACTTTATATCTGCCTTTATTGAAGACATGATGTGCTGAGCTCAGTTTCAACAACTCCTCTTTGATAAGGCGGGTTATTTCTCGCTTGGCTTTCTGGACAGCTAATTCGCTGCAGCTTTCTATTGCCAAATACAATTTACGTTCGCCTTCGGGTGGATTCTTGCCTGGCGGAACATACGTTCCACGCACTGTGAGACCAGCTTCGGAATATTCTGATATTTGGGCCAATGCCTCTTTCGACGTTACCTTCCAACGTGCCTGCTGTGGGAAATCGTTGATCTCCAGCTCTTCCTCATACTTTGTGAAGGAGTTAGCTTGATTTGGCAAAAGGCCCGATGCAGCACCTTCCTCGTCATCTTTAGGCTGATAGTTGAGTTTGTTATTGAGTTTGGCAGCCAACTGTTCTACTACGGAACGGGCAGTAATCATTGGCTGTGTAGCACTGGAACCCTTAAGTATGGCTTCGGCTGCAACTTGTGTACATGCCTTACCATCGGCACCCAAATTCTTGTTGGTACTAATTTTGGAAGCCAACCGTTTGGCTAACTCAAGCTTGTCAGAACCAACAGGATTGGCACCTGCTGCAGTATTTCCACCAGCAATGACAGTACTGCCAGACGCAGGAGCAGTGGCTACCATAGTAACGGCTGGCGTTGGCACTGATGTATCTTTCACAGTGCGCTTAGCTGCAAATAGTTGCTCGATTTGTTGATCAATATCATTCTCTATGTCTTCTTCGTCATCGGAATCCGCCAGGCCCAATGCAGCCTTTTGCAGTTTTTTGCTCTCCTTAGCCGCATTGGCTTCTTGCTCGTCAAATTTAAACCCTTTACCGCTAAAACCACCTCCTGTGTGTACTTTCTTTCCTTCGGCCTCCTGGCCAGCTTTGTACTCATTCCAAAGTTTCTGCAGGTCTTCAGGAACCGGAGTTTCTGATAATTCCAAAGCTCTTATGATATCACCAGCATAGCGCCCTTGGTCATATGTCAAAAATGTCCATGCGCTTCCTTTCTTACCCGCTCTACCTGTTCGACCACATCTAAATAATGATAATAATAAAAATCAATATATTTGGTTTCGTTTTAACACGGAATCCTAATGAATATCATATCAATGCCAACATACCTGTGAACATAGTCCTCATAATGATTGGGAACATCATAATTTACAACTAAAATCAAATCCTTGACATCTAAGCCACGCGCTGCTACAGATGTAGCTATTAAAAGACGCACCTTACCAGATTTAAAATCTAATATCGTTGAGTCTCTATCGAATTGATCTATTCCGCCATGTAAACTCATACACGGGTAGGAAGCCTTCATTAGGTCTCTCAAAAGAATATCGGCGTTCTCTTGCTTATCGACAAACACAATAATGCTACCCTTTTCTTGGTAAATGCCCAACAATTCCAACAGCTTGAAGAATTTGGCATCGTCTTCCATTATGGCTACATGTTGTTCCACATCTTTGCAAACGACGGATCGTCCGCCAACAATTACTTCAATTGGCTTCTTGAGAATACGTCTGGCTAAAGCCTCCATTTGTCTTGGAAAGGTTGCACTAAACATAACCGTTTGACGGTCTGGCCTTACATTATCAATGATACGCATTACCTGAGGTTCGAAACCCATGTCGAACATACGATCAGCTTCGTCCAAAACAATGTAGGTGACACGACGTAAATTAGTCACCCGGCCCGAATTGGCTGCCAACATATCTATCATGCGCCCTGGTGTACAGACAATTATTTCGGCTCCACGTTTCAGCTCGGCGATCTGTTCAAACATGCCCGTACCACCATAGACGCAAACGACGCGCAAATTCAAACTTTTGGAGAATTTTCGAATATCCTTGCCGATTTGCATACACAATTCACGGGTCGGAGCCATTATTATCGAAATAGGTCCATCACCATCTTCCAGTTCTGGCTGATCGAGAATGTGCCTAAACATGGGTAAAATGAATGCTAGCGTTTTGCCACTGCCAGTTTTTGCAATACCTATTAAATCTCGCCCAGACATAATTGCCGGAATCGCTTGGCACTGGATGGGTGTGGGCTTGTCGAAGCCTAATTTACGTAAAATGTCCATTTCCTTTTTACTGACGCCACAGTGTGCCCAAGTCTGCATGAAAAAAAAAAAAAAAAAAAAAAAAAAAACAAATAAAAGAATCAATTGAGAAGGCAAATCTCAAAGGAGAAAGTAACAACCATGGATTAACAAAATAAACTACATTCCAAATAGAGCAACTATATTAATCATATTTTTTAAGACTAAAAACAATGTCAAAAACATATTGTTTTAAGTCTACCCTTTAGGTATTAGCATTTAAGGCAATTTCAAGGCAAGATAGTAATAAAATGATTTTAAATGAAATTTAGGCACACAAAAAAAAAAAAAAAAACATTTTGAAAAAAAATCGAAAATTTACGGGCGTATTGACAACAACCTAAAATATACTAATTAGGTAAATTGCGTATAAAAGAAAAACATTACCTTAATGGGTTTGGGACAACCTTTGCCCTTGACCTGTACGCCTTCCAAATCAGCTCGATATTTTTCCACTTCTTGTTGTGTCATACGTGCCAATTCGGGTACCTCAACGTAAAAGTTTTTACGAAATGATGCATATTCAACGCCGGAATGATCTATTTTGGGCAAGTCCTTGCGATGTTTATTTGCCAAGCTAGCAGCAGTATCTTTAATATCTTCCAGTTCTTCTTCACTCGAATACTCCAAGCTGTCCATATTTTGCTCTATTAATTCTCCTTTGTTTTTATTTACCGTGGACTTCTTTTTGGCCATGCCGGTCAAAATAACAACACCCTGCTGTTTTTTGGGTTGCGTAATGATATGATTGACTTGTCTCACTTCTTTGGCCACCTCCTGCATATAAGCATCCAAGGGATCAATCTCGTCGTTTTCTTCGGCCTCAGCCGACAATTTTGCGGCTGCCGCTTCTTTTTTGGAATATTCCTCTTCTTCTCTGACCTTTTTCAACTGCTCAACTTTGAGTTCTTCTTCTTCTCGCAAAGCTTCAATTTTTGCTTTCGCGGCAATAACAATGCTCTTCGATGATTTTAGTCTATCAACTTTTTCATCCTCATCGTCATCCCTAGGTTTCTTTATGCGATGAAATTTTGAAGGTGGTGAGTCGGGCTCTTTACTGAGATCAACTGTGGCAATTGTGTTGTCTTCTTCTTCGGATTCATCTTCAAGACTCCATTTTTTGGAAACAATATTTGTAGTGGGCGGGGGCAACAACGATTTTAGGTCTTTTTTATTGGCTTCCAGTTCTTTAAGCTTTCTCTCAGCACGCCAACGTTCAATGCGTTCACGGCGTTTTATCATTTCCAGCTCCAGTCGTCGTTGTTCTTCTTCTTTATCAATTTCTTCCTCCTCCGGCGATGAGCTGCTTGAATCTTCATTGATGACAATTGTTGCGGGAGGAGCTGGTTTTGTCTGGTTTTCCTCAACAATCTTTTCACGAATAAGTTCCCGTTGACGTTCCCGTTCTTTGTCCCGTTCTCTTTCGCGATCCCTTTCACGTTCTTTCTCTCTTTCCCGATCACGTTCTCTTTCCATTTGACGCCTAAAAGCGAATAATTTCATAAAAATGATTCTGGGTTATTTCTGAAACAATTTGTTGCTTACATCTTTTCCCGTTCGTATTCCTTCAACTTTGATTGGGATGGTGACTCCCTTCTTCGTTTTTCCTCCCGTCTGCGGTCAAAATCGCGATGATCACGCTCGTTTCTATCCCTCTTTCGTTCATCGCGGTTGCGACTGCTGCTACTCGCACCGTTTCCATTGCGGGAAGATCGCTCCTTTGGAGACCTAGACCTACTCCTTGAATAACGGCGTTTTCTCTCGCGTTCTCGCTCACGTTCCCTCTCATAATCTCGGTCCCGGTCACGTTCTCTTTCGCGGTCACGATCCCTTCTACAAGAAATATAGGCATTAAAAATGGAATATAACAACGCTTGTCTCTAAAAATTGCCCCGTGAAACGAAAAACACAGATTTGCGATACCCAATTTGGGCCATAGGTGTCCACAAAAGTAAAGACCCTTATTTCGATAGAATATGAGCAAGATTTAAAATTTATCTTCTTCTCCTTAATTCTAAGGATTCGCACACCACGCTAATTGTTCCTCGGTCACTATTGCAAATGACTTGAACACTTACCCAGAACTTTTCGACATTTTTAAAATCCCGCGTTGCAAGATAACGTATGGAATAGGATACTGCAAAGGAATTAAACAAAATATTATAATATTTCTTAAAATTAAAATAATGCAATGCACAAACTTGGGAAACAACAGGAAAATGCCGGACCAATAATCGCACAAAGCTTTCACTCACGGCACTCACGGTATTTGTTCGCTTTGTATTTAAAAATCGTGTATTCTTAAGATTGACTCACAACTGTTGATATTTTTTATGAAAATTTATTTAATTTTCTTAATTTTACCAATTATTTTTTTATTTTGACAGCAGCACTAACCACACAAGAATGTTGTTCGATTTTTTCTCCGGTGCAAATGGTTCCCGTAGCCGCTGTCTAAACAATTACGCCGTTTAGACACGGGAGAATAAGGAAATAACCGATAAAGGCCAATAATCAAAACAAAAGAAACAATGTAGCTAGGCTTTCACAGATCGACATATCGATGTAGGGCATTCGTGCGCAGAACAGTGCGTTTGCGTTATTTCTCTTATGTGGTGTTTCCACGGCACTTGATTCGCTCTCTATTCGTTGTTTGGCCCTAAACTACGGAAAAACTACTTAATTCTCCACACAAAATTTCCAGAGCGAACACTCATATTTTTACATTGTTCAAATCAAATCACTCTCAGAACAACGAAAAAATATGTCCCATCACTAAAAAATGAGAGCATTTATCGAAAATGTGTCATATTTGTCAACCGCTTGTCAAAAAATAAACAAATTATTGTGTCCGTTGCGAAAGTAATTGAAGAATTTTTAATTAATAAAAATGTGTGTGAATTCAATGGAAACGATAAATTAAATGTGAGAGAACAAAAACGCGTTTTTCATATAACCTATATTAGTTATTTTTTCATAGGAGTGTACAATGGAGAAGAAAAAGAAATTTGTGAAAAAACTAATTATAAGTCGAAGAAGGCTCGCGTCTTTCACCTTGTTTGAAAAAGACAGTTGCGATGTAAGGAAGCTGCTAACTCTGGTGAATGCCTTGGAATTCCACACATTGTATGAATCGGAACGATTGTGTTGGCAAAGGGTAATGTGTGTCTGTCCGATACAACGGAACAAGATTAATCCGTATTTCTTGAGAGAACTGCGAATTGTAAATATTTGACCATTGAGTTTTTGCAATCATTTCAGTTTCGATCTCAATACTTTTGGGAAATAGATTGCCAAAAAGCAGATGAGAAATGCTTCAAAAATAACTTTCGGGTCAGCAGAGAGGTTTTCAATAAATTGTGTGAATTGCTAAATGGGCTACAAAAATCTAATACAAATATGCGAGAGGCAATACCATTGGAAAAAAGAGTTGCAATAGGTTTATATACCTTGGGATCTTCTGCCGAGTACCGCACAATAGCAAACATGTTTGGAGTTGGAAAAAGTACAGTGTGTAAAATACTCTTGCAGTTTTGTAATGAGGTCTGGAGAATTCTTGCTCCAATTTATTTAAAAAATTTCCCCTTAACAAGAGAAAAGATAGAAGTACTCTGTCAAGAATTTGAAATACTAGGGTTTCCGCAATGTATAGGTGCTCTGGGTGAGTTTTGAAAAGTTGTATTTAAATTATTATTATTATGTTAACGTTTGCAGACGGTTGCCACATTGAGGTTCATCCATCCAAGGAAGACGCTACAGATTACTACAACTACAAGGGATGGTACTCAGTCGTACTCCTTGCATTGGTAGATGCGAGGTAAGTACTAACTTTTACATTTTCTTTACTTTTTATATCCTACGCCCCACTATGGTGCAGGGTATTGTGTCGTGAGATAGACGCCTACTTCTCATGGGTCTTCATCAGACTTCAGGTTTAGTGTGCATCAAATGGGATGAAATTGGACACAAGTGGCCGAATTAAGCCAAAAATAAACCTATTATATTTGGTGCACATAACAACAGTATTGTAACGTATCATAAAGTCTGCCGGTCCGACTTTTATCCTTTTATAACTGCTTTCTACATGCTTTTTTTTTATTTTAGATGTCGTTTCATTTATGTTAGTTGTGGGAGTCCAGGACGTTGCAACGATTCTCAGATCTTTGAAGGTTCTTCCCTCAAACAGCAGCTTAACGAATGCAGTCATTTAAAGGAAGTAAAGCGAAATATTTTGGGCGTTGAGGTTCCTGCCCTTATAATCGGCGATTCGGCATTCAAATTAAGCGACAAGTTGATGAAACCTTATCCATTTCAATTATCACAAAATCTCGAGCAAAAATGCTTTAATTACGCATTGTCAAAATCACGCAGAGTAGTTGAAAATGCCTTTGGCCACCTTAAGGCACGTTTCCGACGAATCGGAAAAGGCATAGATAATGCTCTAAAGTATGCCAATGCAGTCATATTATCTTGTTGTGCTCTTCATAATTTTCTCAGCGAGCACAATGATGTTGTTAACGACAAGTGGTTGAAAGCATTACAATCAGTTGAGGCAAATAGATCCTATCCTGAAGAAATAATAATTCTTGCAGATCAAAGCAGCGGCCATAATGGCGAAGAAATACGAAATGCTATTTCAATATATTTATGTACGTATTATTGTTCTTAGTAAAATGCTATTGTCAAACAAGAGTTGACATAAGCACATTAAATATATGTAGGCATTCATTTTTTAAATATATATTCTTTACTATTTTTTAAGCGCAAAAAAATTGTTGTAACGATGAGGATAACTTGTACAATATTGATGAAGCTAATTCATTTTTAAATGTGGAGGAAGAATATACGTTCCCTTCTGGAGAAACTGTCTGTAATTTGCAAGATATAAATTAGTATATTAGTATTATTCATTTTCATTTATTTCGTCAGAATTCATTATGTTTCATTAATATAGTTTATGTTATTTTTAGATAACTATGTACATATTTAAGCTGCATTTTGAAGAATTTGTTTAATTGTTTTTGAAAATAAAAAAAAGGTGTATAAATATATATATATATATATATATATATATATATATATATATATATATATATATATATATATATATATATATTTTTTTTTTTTTTTTTTCATATCTACTACCATTCCGCCCATACATACTCAAAATAATTTTTGTATATATTTTTAATTTTAGAAAAAAACAAATGTTACATTGAATGATAAATAAAATGTATAACATTGAAACGATAAAAATTAAAACTAATCAAAGTATTTAATTAATATAGTAAGAGCAAACTATAATTAAAGGAAATATAAGCAGTTTAAAAGAAAAGTCGTTACATATCATAAATATATATTCAATTTTAAGCATTTCTTAAAAAATCTACCAAAGCCTTTTGTACTTCCGCTTCCCTTTCCACAAAGCTTCTTAACAAAGCCTCTTTCTTCTCTTCTATAGCCTCCTTTCTTTGTTCTATCTCTATTAACATATCAATTTTTCTTTCCACCTTTTCAGCATGCTCTTTTTCCCTTTTTCTCTTTTTCGATGATGATGTGAATGGTAATTCCGACGATAGGTCAATAGGTAATTGTGAAGAGGAACTAGGAATGATTGGTGAAGAGGGTGGGGAGTTGGACATTTCGCATGTCAATATGGCATCAATATCTGTGCAATATACAACGTGAGAATAACAAATATATATTTTTTATTAATTTTATTCTTACCATTGACACTGTCCAAAACAAGGAACTCAGTATTGTAGGTCTTGCAAGGTGCTAACAACATTTCCATTTCTTTATATAGCTCCCAATCTGATGGTGAACCTCCGGTTGTACCAACTAGGCGCTTTTCCTTCCTATAAAAAAACATGGTTTTTATAAAGTAAATAAAAACATACTTTACAGATTGTAAATATTCAAAAGTAAAGAAGCTATCATCTTGCAATATGTATCTACAACAAGAGTGTTGGAAGACAAACTTTCTGTCATTCTTAACTTAAAATGACAAGTTCCGAGAATATTGTACCTATCCTTGGATAATATCGAACGAATTTTGATGCAAACAAACACATCCGCATAAGCTCCTCCCACCATGATCGAAGTCGGAGGCAATGAAACTTCATGCAAATTGAAATGTTCAAAAACATACCTAAATCTCGCAGCCATGTTGTGCATCTTGGTTTTTATTTCGTGGGATGTATACAAAAACCCATGTTTCCCGAGTTCGGATGCCATTTCTTGAAGAATGTGGCTATTTTTTCGACATCCACGTAGCTGGCTCATAAATAATCCCCACACTTCCAACAAAGCCCGTTCACTTATTATACTCCATTTGTTGGGAGTTTTTCGGATACCTAAAACAATAAAACATTATTCTTCGTTATGTTAGTATTTTTACTCACATTTTTTTTCGAACTGAGCCATTTTTAATAATTTTTCTTTAAATTAAAAAAAAAACGAAAAATTGTGTATAACTATAAATGAAGTTGTCAGATGTAACTACGAACGTATCGTGGGAACAGGTTAGTTCGTGTACGTGATTCTGAGAGCAAACAACGTCATTCAATTTACCGTGTGAACATGCTATTAAGTGGGTTCTTAGCGATCGTTGTTGAAATTTAGGATGGTACAATAATGACGTTACAGAAATTCAGCGCCTAGGCTATGCCCGCTTCCTGTGAGAATTATTCAAAATTATAACCAACAAGTTCTCCTCATTTATTTGATATTTTCCTCATCATTTTCTTTCAAAAATATGATTTCCCAATATAAAAAGAGTTGTAATTTGGCAAATGAAACTACGTTTTTTATTCCGCATAGAACTTGTTATTATCTGTAATGCTTATGCCGCAATGTTGGGCCATGGTTATCCTTATTTTATATGTCATTTTTTGTTAAAAATATAATTTTTCTTTGTGCATAGTTGACAACATGATAAAATTATATAATTTTATAATTATATAGATTAATCATGGTATTTAAAATAAATGACTTTACCTCCTTAATTTTTTCTAATCATTTCATTTCATTTTCATTTATTTCATACAATTCAATATAAATAAGCCAACATGGCCAAAATCTTATATTAACATACAACAGTATAAAAACAGTCTATAACCAAATTAATCTAAAAAACTAAATAAATAACAAAAATTATCAACGAATAGTAAAATATATAAAAAAAAAGTAATAATAATAATAATCATCGTAAAATGAGTGAGGTAAACTAATTTTAAATAAATGCACCCACCTCTGCATTTTTTATAATTTGCTTTGTTTAATTTCACTGCATAGAAAACAGGCTCCCATCTCTGATTTGATATGCAATGATTTTAAATATGCATTTTGACAATCAGATGTTGTCAAATGAATAATTTTGAAAAAATTGTGAACATATGATTGCATGACTTTACCTTCTTAATTTTACCATGATTCTAATATCG